AAAAAAAAATCAGTTTACATAAGGAATCGAACCACAGCTACTCGGATTCCGGGTTCCACGTTCACGACAAGAAAAACCCTGTTTGAATTACATTTCTTTTGAAACCTCCATGTCTTAAATGCAGTGGGATGATCTTTTGGTTAGTGACGTCTCACCTCATTGCAAAGAACATAAATTTGGGCAGTATCATATATTAAAAAGGCTAGGGAAGCATCTTCATCGATGCTTCCCTAGGGAAAAATGAGTCAAACACACTCGAGGAAGATGAAAGTTTTCAAATCTGTTTGAATTATATGAAAACTACGAGGCGAACAAAGTCTTTATTATACCAACGGATGGTTGATTACTTAATGAAATGATTCGTAACGAAGCAATTTGAGCCTTTTTTATCTGCAGTTTTCTGGAGGGATTTTTATTAGCCTACGGACAAACGAAAGCCAACGATCCTTAATCTGCGTTAGTTTAATTAATTGCTGACCCCTACAAAATGAGTTTAAAAATTCCCTCCTTTAACAGGCTTCAAAATTTAATTTATTTTTTTTCTTTTCGGGGAATGGAAAGAAGCCTTTTCTTTCTTCAAGAAAGCTCTCACTGGTTTTATCTCCAGAAGGAGTTCATAATTTTTAATTCTAAAGTCGCTGCTGTGGTGTGAATGACGATTGTAGTTTCTGATATTAGGCGGTGTCAACCCTGCAGCAGATGCGTTATTTTGCGCAATATATGAAAAACACTGTACGCACCATATTGGACACTGATGGACATTGCAGACTCGTTCTTCTTGCCGTGGTTTCGTTGCTCCTTTGCAGAAGACGTCGTCGACCATGGATATATTTCCACGATAAAAGCGAATGCATTTTACGCGCAAACTCTTCCTGATCCCTGTAATAGGAAAAAAAAAAGATTAAAGTTCTGAAAAAATTTACGAAGAACTGAAAGTCAACCTTGAACTTTTAAATGACAGCATCACAGTATTAGACTGACAATTTCAATGCGTAGGGTGTGATACAAATCCCCCCACAGTTGGTGACTCCGGAGGACCTACCTCCATCTTCTATAAAGTTACGAACTAATTAAGTTGCATAGTTATGGAACCATGGGTCACTCCTTAGTTCTCGTGGCACACAGTCATCACAATATCGGTGCAGCGTTGCACCAAGTTGATCCGGGTATCCCATCAGATGCCACTCTTAGTCGATCACGTTTAAGTAAATGTTGCTATACAAAGGGGATATTGGCGAACCTTATGCGAAGAAAGTACTTATGCAAAGTAAGGGATATATTGCTCATGATAGGTCCTATATAGCATGAGCAATGTTGAAATGAGGTTATTTCTACTGACCAAAACATAGAGGTTCGACAGTATCCTCCAATGATTGTTGCTTTTGTAGAAGTTGAGGAGCCACGGAAGGAGGTAATTAGAGAGGGATTTCGCTTAGTTGCTGATTATATTTTTGGGAATAATACGGTTAAAAAAAATTTCAATGACAGCGCCTGTTCAGCAACAACGATCAGGGGAAACATGGCATGTGAGTTTTATTATTCCTAGCGAGTATACTCTAGAATCACTCCCAAAACCTAATGATGATCAAGTCTTATTAAAAGAGGTTTCGTCAAAGAAATTTATTGTTATTCGCTTTTCTGGGGCCAGTTCAGATGAGAATGTGCAGACATATGAAAAGAAGCTTGTTGAGTATATCCAATCGAACCAAATTCAAAATATTGGTATTCTAAAATACGCTTTTTATAATCCTCCTTGGACTCTGCCCTTTATGCGCAGAAACGAAGTGATGATCGAGATAAATTAGTTTATTTTTCCCTCTAAAAAGTATTTTTCGTGTTTCTGGAGGCGGTTAAAGTGGGTTCAGTTTGTCGATAATGGTACATAAATCTTGGAGATAAGTTAACAGGCTATACCTATGAAGATAGAATCCCTGACAAAGTGAAAGATAAATAAATCTTATGGTAAATTATTTCTGATATTTAATTTTAATAAGTAGTTTTTAAATTCTTCATACAAATTTTTATCGAATACATTATTTTTTTTTGGGAATTCTTTTCTCAAGATTAATTGAGGCTGTTCCTCTGCAAGATACACTTGGCAATCATCTACATAATTATAAAACTGGGAGAAATTCACTAAACCTTTTTGATAACGCCTTCTGATTGTTTCCGTTGGAATATTGTGGCCTCCTAGAGAGACTCGAGCCTTGACCCTAAAATCACAGAGTTCAACATCTCTAATCCATAAAAATATGAGCCTATTGGTAAAACCACTGTCTTTTGCTTTCTTGAGGATTCTCTTTAATGCATGAGAACCAGAAAGCGTACTTTCTATAATAATACTTTCTTCGTCTAAAAAAGCGTTTTCTAGGCGTTTAAAGAAAACTTTTCCCGCTTGAATAAGAACACTAGAAACATCTTCAGGAGCAATTTCAGAGGCAATATGATCTGCATTAAGAAAATTGCTTTCAGACAACTCAGACGCAAAAACATTTTCGATGAAAGTTGTTTTGCCAGAACCATTTGGCCCAGCAACTATGGTCATTTTTTTATTAGCAGAAAGCATTCTGGGACTTTTTTAATCCCTTTAACTCAAAATGCGCTTTTTGAATCTTAACTTCTCGACCATCAGGGTATATGGCTATAATATGACCATCCTTACATTGATAAGCTGGTATTCCAAGAATATGTGCAGCGTCTATTGCTGACTTAACGGCTTCTCTATATTTTTTTGTATAATTACGCATAAAGCTTGATCACAATATAATTAGTCTTTATGTTTATTTTACACGGTTAGCTAAAAAAAACCAAGGAAGTATTTTGCGGAGCTTTCTTTTATGCAAGCAGTTTCTTTGTTTTTGTGGGAAATTATCTCTTACTAAAGCGGACACAAGAAGGACGAATTTCGGCCCAAAATAGAGAAAGTGTAAATGGCGGAGTAAAAGATACCGTCATTGACAGATTCACTCTAGTATTAGAAAAAATACTAAAACAATCAGGAAAATTTATAAATCTAGAGGCTGCGCTTGCTAACTTATGTGTATAACGTCCGAACCACACAAGAAAACCTCAAGGTCTGTAACCACCATTGACTAGATTTTTGTTAAAAATCCCACAAACAGCTAAAGGGAACGGCATATAAATCGTCTCCAAAAGATGTCGTATGTTCCCCAGAGTATGATTATTCCAATAAACTTTTTTGAGAGCATAAATTTATCTTTAAACCAAGACATAGAGTTAAATTGATTTTTAGTAATATTACTTCCTGATTTTATTTCAGAGTTAGTTAAAAGCAAAAGTCTCTATTAATTTTCTGATTTTATCACTATAAAATTTCAAAACTGCGCGGTTCCACCCAAGAATAGAAGACATAAGTCCAGAATCTGTAATGAAGAATTTATCTTGTTTACCGATGCGTTCGTAATCTGTTTTGATCCAAGGCTTTAGTCTTTCAAATAAAGATAAAAACTCAAGGGCATTGATGTAGGTTTACACTGCCCCCCATAGTCAAGACAGAAAATCGTATTTTATAAGCTCAAATTCTCATCCTCTTTCTAGTTAAACGAAGCAACAAATGTTGCTACAAGTTTTTCCAAAGGGGGCTTGCTCCTGAGAAATAACACCAGGTACTTTGTAATTGTTAATGCAACTGATGGTGTTGGCTTGAGTACAACTGCAGCTAGTGATGGTGTTCTAATTGACACCAGCCACCCAATCATAGCTAAGATTTACGATGGAAGTCAAACTGGATCTGACGCTAAATATGCAACCTGGATCAATACCTTCAGTGCAAATTGGGAACCCTTCCTAGATATACACTCGTTCATCTTGAAATACACTTGGGCAGTATATCATCTCAACGTCGGCTTCATAACACAATTTACCTTTACTGGTTTCAATCGATCTGGAACTGCAAAGAACCTTAAGCTTGTTTCTGGAGAAAAGTACTGCGCTGTTGTAAGAGGCTACAACAAAGCCATATTGTACTCTGAACGGTCCTCAGACTGTGTACTAATTGATCGTGACGCACCTCAAGCAGGGACTGTCAACGACGGAAGCTCTAGAGATGTGTCTTACCAAGTTGATTCTACCATGATTGCAGCAAATTGGCATGGTTTCACGGATGGCACAAAAGGTAGTGGAATTGTAGAATATAGGTANTCCACCCTGAAAAGATCTTGCTCAACAACTTTAAGGTATCCATATGTAATAAACTTATATTTCACTTATAATTTACCAACCGTGTGAATGCAATGTCAATAAAGATATAAATAATATAATAATGATAATGATAATGATAATAATAATAATAATAACAGTAATAATAAAATAATTATAACTTTCTCTTACCATCTAATGAATGTACAGTAAGAATCTCCTTACCAGCAGAAAAAAAAAAGACTCAGTGGAGTTATCTTGTGTGGCACTTATGGCAATTTGATATAAACGTTTTTTTTTCTCAGAGGAAAAAGAAAGAAAAAACATGGTAGACTTGAACAAAAGAAGAAACATGTGTTAAGTAGTTTGCTCTTTACAAACAACGAATAACAAAAATGTTTTCTTCATCATAGGACCATAAAAGATGTTGTTTTACGGTCTATCTCCAATGAACCCTACAAGAGGAATTCTACGACTCCCTGCAACCAAATGAGTAGATCTGTGTACCTATAAGAAAGCGGACCTGAAAACGTCCATTCTGGCAGTAATATCGAATAACCTTTCGAGATCGAAATCTGTGATAAGCGAAGGCAGCGATCTCTAACTTTATTATGACATTATGCAATATATTTCCTTTCACAAACAATACAGCACCTATACTCAATATACACTATAAGTTTTAGTCAGAGTGGAGAGAATATTTTATAGTAAAGATTTAGAAAGTTATATAATTTTTAAATTACTCGCATTTCCCTGATAATCCAAGGCAGTTTGTAAATTATCAATGGAAATTGACTGTCAACTTTATTTCACTTGTTTTATGCGGTCATTATGTGACCGCAGAAATCGCACAATTAAGATAAAGATTCAATCGTAAGCATAGAGAAGAACGACATTAAAAAATAGTAGTTGGTGAGGAACTTTTTGGCGCCATCGATAGTCTTTTGCTTAGTAAAAACATTCTACCTTTCGATTTTCAGAGGAAATTCTTTCGGTGTCCAATAATTCTCCGAAGTGTGTGGCTTTGCAACTTGCACAACACAACAGAGAGCTGATCACCTTTTCTACAAG